TGTATTATTTATGGCATGATTTTCGGGCACCGGTTGCCCAGTCCTATAACTTAATTCGCTGTCAAGTGTTGCCTCCCTTAATCATACCAGACACCGGGTGCCTCCCTGAAGCAGACATGCCGTGGTATAACGAGAATATACCCGTGAAAGGGTAAGATTTGGTCTGCAAGGAAGCATGATTGTCCCAGCTGCGTAGATCAATGCTCATACTGTTGATCACTGGATTGTCTGGTCCAGTCTCTATTATTTACAGACCACTGCCATATAGCTGGAATATTGCTGAATGCGACGTTAAAAATCAATCAATCAATCAATGGGAATACTGTCAAAAGCGGCGTTAAAACAAACTCACTCACTCACTTTTGTAAGAGTGGTGAATTTGAAATAAATGCACTGTCACTGGTTTTCTGGTCCACACGCTCTATCACAGGAATGTCTGGCCATGACACCATGTTTTAGGGGTCACCGTCGTATAGCAGGAATAACGCTGGGTGTGTCCAACAAACAAACGCTTATCCTTCTGCAGATCGGTTACTCTTCCCATGCTGAACTGTCGTCATCACTGATGTTCCGCGATCCGTCAATTTTAGAATATTTTTGTCTGTAACTGCCTATTTCGGTAGATAATCACGACGTCGAATGTTTTTTATTGCCACGATGCTGAGGTGTTAAATACGACAAACCAACCAACCAACCTTTAATTTCTTAGTTTATATCGAGTTGTCCGTAGTTTGAGAGAATCGATATTAGACCACCTTGCCTATGACGATTGAACAGGGAACAAGCAATTCAATCGTCAAATGTGATATATCGGCTTAAGCGAGAGTTCGAGTCAATGAGGTTTAACCGCACAAGTTACGAAGTAATTTTTACAGCAGTGTGACGTATACATGCTTCAAACAAAAATCACTTTTCGCTTAACTATTCATAAACACTGTACGAACAAATAAAAATATAATTCCCATGTATATTATTATATTTATCAATCTTATCATCATAATTATGAGGGGCGGTGGGTTAGCCTAGTGGTTAAGGCGTTCGCTCGTAGAACCCGGGTTCAATTCTCCCATGGGCACAATGTGTGAAGCCCATTTCTGGTGATCCCCGCCGTGATATTGCCCGAATATTGCTAAAAGCAGCGTAAAACCATACTCACTCACTCACTTTGGTGTTCCCCGCCGTGATATTGCTGGAATATTGCTTAAAGCGGCGTAAAACCATACTCACTCACTCTGGTGTTCCCTGTCGTGATATTCCTGGAATATTGCTAAAACCTGCGTAAAACCATACTCACTCACTCACTCTGGTGTTCCATGTCGTGATATTGCTGGAATATTGCTAGAAGCTACATAAAACTAATACTCACTCACTCATAATTATGGTTACAGTTCTTCAGGGATAATCCTCGTGAACAGAACAAACAACATCAACGCTGCTAATGTGTTTATTGCGGACCCGGTTACCGGAAAAGCGGTAACGACAACGGGAGTCAACGTTGGGGAAGTGGTGTGTTTTGCCTTCGTCATCGAGGCAACAGGTATGTCTCCTCACTCCAGAAATCGCAGAAAATATTCCACATATGAATTATTCAAGATCATGGACTATGTGGAGGGAAATATACTTTTCTTGTATATTTTCATACCCTTAAAATGCCAGCAGCACAAGATACGCATCTTCTACATGGTCAGCATCAAGTTATAACAGAACCGTCTTCAGCAACCCATGCTTGTCGTAAGAGGCGAATAATGGGATCCGGTGGTCAGGCTCGTTGACCTGGTTGACAAGTGACATCGTATTAATTGCGTATATCGATGCTCATGTTGTTGATCACTGGGTTGTCTGGTCCAGACTCGATTATTTACAGTCCGCCGCCATATAACTGGAATATTGCTGAGTGCGGCGTAAAACAACAAACCAAATAAGCAAGCAACTATAACAGTACCGATGGGAAGTTTATTTTCAGCTCAAGATAATTATTATACAATGAATATTGTGGCCGACAGAGAGACTGTAACCTTTATTTATCCTCAACTTGATTTTTTATCGTTGCATTCACTACTTATGTGCATACGTGTAAATATTAATATTCTGGTCATGAGGTGAGGTGAAATTGGGTTTAACCTCGTGCTTGAGAATATTTCGCTCATATGACGACGTGCATGCGTGTGTATGTGTATGTGCGGCTGCTTGTACTAGCCCAGACTTAAGCTGGTTTTATAGTGCTAGCCCACTGAGATACCATGCCGCAGTGAAGCATGAATACCCCACTCAGACACATTATACTGACTCCGAGCCGACCAGTCCTTGTTGTACCCATTAATGCCGAGCGCCAGGCAGGGACCAACAAGTACCATATTTTAACGTCTCTTGGTATGACGCGGTCGGGGATCGAACCCGCGACCTTTCGCTCTCCGGGCGGACGCTCTAACCACTACACCACGGAGGCGGTCTCTGGTCATGAACACACATAATTGACATATAGTTCATGTGGCTATTTGAATGTCATTTATTCATTTATACAATAACATTTTGGTGTCGACTCAAAGTTGATGGGGGTAAAAGATATGGATCACTCTTGTCGGTGAAAAAACACAAACAGTAAACACTCTTTCTCATTGTTTCTTTTAAGTTAAAAAATATGTTTACATTTAGAATATTAAAGTATTACAAACAGGCTTATGTTACCTACTTGTGATGTCTAATGTATGTGTGCCGATGTGACGTAAAATATTAACTCACTCACTCTAATGTATGTTTTAGTACAAGGAACCGAAAAGAGAAATTTGGTCACATTGTTTAATACAATGCTGCTCTTTTACAGGTTACACGACAATTCGTCTTGACAGCGTCACCGCCAACGACCAGCTGACGCCGGCGACCACATTTGGTGTTCTAGCTGATGGGTAAGCTGGATCGGCGTGGCTGTTTTACCGTAATATCTCTTTGGTGTGTGCAGTGTGTGAGGTGAGGTGAGGTGAAGTTGGGTTTTACGTCGTGTTTGAGAATATTTCGCTCATATGACGACGTGCATGCGTGTGTATGTGTATGTGCGGCTGCTTGTACTAGCCCAGACTTAAGCTGGTTTTATAGTGCTAGCCCACTGAGATACCATGCCGCAGTGAAGCATGAATACCCCACTCAGACACATTATACTGACTCCGGGCCGACCAGTCCTTGTTGTACCCATTAATGCCGAGCGCCAGGCAGGGACCAACAAGTACCATATTTTAACGTGTTTTGGTATGACGCGGTCGGGGATCGAACCCGCGACCTTCCGCTCTCCGGGCGGACGCTCTAACCACTACACCACGGAAGCGGTCGTACAGTGTTTGAGGCAAGATGATTTAGAAGAGTTTTCAGGAATCACATTGAACCCACATCGCTAACATATCTTTCACGCTACACCACATTAACTTCACTTTAAGATTCCGGGGAGCAATAGACCACAAGTGCCCCGTGCTTGTCTTGAGTGTCTGTGCCATAGTGAGTGAGTGAGTGAATGAGTTTAGCTTTACGCCGTACTCAGCAATATTCCAGCATTATGGCGGCGTTCTGTAAATAATCGAGCCTGGACAAGAAAAATCCAGTGATCAACAGCATTAGCATCGATCTGCGCAATTGGGAACCGATGACATGTGTCAACCAAGTCAGCGAGCCTGGCCACCTTTCCCGTTAGTCACATCTTAAGACAAGCATTGGTTACTGAAGATCAATATTCTAACCTGGACCTTCACGGGTCTCTGTGTCATAGTGCCCGAACAATATTGAATGCCGTCATGACATCAACCACTGGTTTGCCGGCTAGGTTTATGAACGGCTGCTTGGTGGGCATATCGGTCTGACTTATTTAGTACCTCTTATGACGATCGCGAACCATCTAGAAAGTATTTCCCGAACGCTTCAGGCTCTTCAACTCGTCAACATCCGGGTCATGTTTGGTCTTCAGCAACTATGCTTGTGGTAAAGACGAGTAACGGGATCGTTTCATGGTTGATTCATGTTACCGTACCCCAGTTGTGTAAATAGATCTTCATGATGTCACTCGCTTGCCCGTCGTTGAGATAATGCCGATGCGACGTAAAACTCAACGCAGCTCAACTCACTCGCTTGCCTTGTACATGTGTTTACAAATCCTCTTCATACAGCTGGAATATTCCAGTGTTCGACCTCAACTTAAAACCAAACTTGAGACTTCATGATATGTTTTCATGTCAACACGACCCGTGGAGATCCGGTTTAGAATTGATCTTCAGTAACCCATGCTTGTCGTGAGAAGAGACTACGGGATCGGGTGGTCAGGCTCGCTGACTGGGTTGACACATGTCATCGTATCCCAATTGTGTAGATTGATGTTCATGCTGTTGATCCCTGGATTGTATGGTCCAGATCCGATTATTTACAGACCGCCGCCATATAGATGGAATATTGCTGAGTGAATTTAACTCACTCACTCATGGCAACACAGAAACAATACGACCTGTTGTGCAATATTGCGTAGCGTGCCAGAAACTTATGATCGTGGGTTAAAATCCCGGTGGGGCGGTTGGGCAACCCAGTGGATAAAGTGTTCGCTCGTCATGCCGAAGGCTCAGGTTCGATTCCTCAAATGGGTACAATGTGTGAAGTCCATTTCTTGTGTCCCCCGCCGTGATATTGGTGGAATATTGCTTAAAGCGGCGTAAACCCCAATTCACTCACTCAAATCCCGGTGCGCCATAAGTACGTTTCTAGGTTTGTAATCACCTCACCCACGCACTTAGGTGTCTCTAAAGTGGAAAACGTCTGAGACCATCATCATTTTGCTTTCCGGCACCATACAGCTGACAAACCGTGATGCAGCAGGGACATAGCGCGACATTAAAACCTACTAAATCACTGTCTCTGTGTTCCAGGTGCCCGATAACAGGTAACGCCAATGTAGTCAGCAGACTGCCCTATCAGCTAAACGCGACCGACGCAAGAAGGGTCGACTTCTGCATCAACGCCTTTTCCTTCCGAAACAGCTTCACAGTCGGCTTCAGGTTTCAACTGTCGTTCTGTACCGCCGCTGACAGCGCTTGCAATCCGGTAGGTCGACTGAAACTCAACCACCTGGCAGGTGGTTAGATCGTGGTGGGCAGTGTGTTTGCCCTTCACTTAACATAGACGGGATTACCAATCTGGCTACATTAAAGGACATTCTTGCCGAGCCAGAAACCCTACAGTTAGGATATTACCGTTTCGTTTACTTCAACCACTTAGGGTCATATAAGTTGTAAAGATAATACTCTTTAACAAGATCGGTCTTTTATGTTTATTGCTCATGTGTAAGAATACCTAGTCCTTGTCTTAATGTGCTATGTCATCATTGGTTTTAACGGCTTAATTCACAATAACCCACCTGTTACACTACAGTTGGATTTAGTCTGAACTGCAATCGATCATTGGACCAGTTAACGGAAACAGCCATTTGTGAAACCGCCAAAAGCACTTCTTAGACATCAGAGAGTTTACCTACCAGGGAACATTAGTTTGGTGACTGTCTGCCTAAAAGGTCGACATATGGACCGAGTAAAATGGCACTTAACTCTATCAACATGTACCTGTCCTTAAGGCAGTTTCAAAGTAAGCAATTAATGAATGTTTTACCAAGACCAAGCGAAATGGACATAAATGATATGTACACTTCTTAAATAAGTATTTTAATAATGTTGTTAATCTCTCAAGGCCTGTGGACATCATTCATCCTTCTGTGTGTTCGTTACTCTTTTTTAGTTGTATATGTCAATTATCTGATGCCCAGGTTGAAAAAAATCAAAGAAATCTTTTTCGTGATCGCTTAGATCCCACGATACAAACAAAAAGCTGTATTGCAGTATTTAATTAGAAATTATTTTATGAAGAGTGATGCTACTATGTGTTGTTAAAGAGTGAGCGTTTCCGGCACACAGGAAACACATGCAAAGCCAGATCTACAGTTTATTTTGAAATGAAAGGGAACAAATCATTTTTTGGTCACATTTGAAAATGTACACCACATAAAAATAGACGTTAAACAATATTTTAAAGACTTTCGTGAGGCCTTGAGTGTTGTAATCTTAATTAAAAGGCTTTTGCGCGAGGGTCGTATAAGCTCTAAGAAACACAATGAGATAGTTTAGAACCGTTACATTGAATGCTGTTCAAAGCGGAGTTAAATCATACTCACTCACTCACACACTTTTGTTTGTTTTCCAGTACACCTGTTCTGGTAACAGACCGTCATACGGACGGAAGAAGAGGGCGTCAGGGGAGACAACCGAGATTCTAGAAACAACAATTGTCATCAAGAAAGAGCCCACCACATCTGCTATAACAGGTAAGCAAGACTCAATGTCTCGCGATGTAGCCCATTCACATGTTATGTACATTTTTATCCATATATTTGTGTGCCCATTGTCAAGTGAAGATAGGTGATTGATTACACAGTGCCTTTCAGAAAGTGGTCAAATGTAACATGTGTTATATTACACTTTCTTAGTAAAGTACAGATTCTAGTACTTTTTGGGTTGAGTCTCATTCGGGATTCGAACCCACACCCTCAGAGTCAGGCACCTAATCGCCAGCACACAAAGTCGGCCGCCTAATCCGCTCAGGGTGGAATCGGTAGCCTACTTTACTAAGAAAGTGTAATTCCAAATATAACATATGTTACAAGACAAGTGACGTTGACATGGATTGAACCATAGTGGGCACCTTCTAAATATTTCAAGGATTGAATTATTTTCTGGAATCTGTTATTTCATCTAAAACATATTATCTGAACATGGCAGATAAAATTTGGCATTTTAGTATTTTACTATTTGGGTCAGTGGGATGCCTAGTGGTTCAAGCGGTCGCTTATCACCCAGGTTCGTCTCTCCTTGAGAGGACCGTTCTTGGTGTCCCTAACCTTACAAATACTGGAATATTGCTGAAAGTATGAAAACTATTACTCAGTCGCACAGCGTAGGCAGAGTGGTGGGTCAAAGAACACATAATTATGTCTTACCGTCCATATATCCAAGCCCAAAATGGCTTATTTCGAGGTTGGCATCAATAAAGTTGTTTCTTTGGAACCACTCTTTGTCAGCAGACTTATCACTGCATACTGATATTTGTGGTATTGATAGCTTTCTGTGTGGTAGTGGTAGTGCTAGTCGTCGCTGACCCAACGGTAGTTGTTGATGCTATCTTGCAGCTTTTCAAAGATATGAAGCGGTTGTGACCGTGGTAGTACCTGTTGCAGTAGTGAGGGAGTGTGGTTTTACGCCGCTTTAGCAATATTCCAGCAATATTACGTCGGGGGACACCACAAATGGGCTTGACACATTGTACCCATGTGGGGAATCGAACCCGGGCCTTCAGCGTGTTGAACGAACGCTTTAGCCACTAGGTTACCCAACCTCCCCAGTAGTTACTGTAGTAATCGTAGCAGTCGTTGTAGTGGTAGTAGTTATGGTTGTAATCGGATTGGTATTGCTTTAAGATAACGGTATGCGGTAGTTGATGTGGTCGTGGTAGAGGAGCTAAATGGTGGAGGAACGTAGTGTAAAGACAGAAGTATTGACCATATAGTAAATACACACAATTAAAGAAAGTACTATGATTTATGTTTATTTATTCCAGGCGGTAACACTGAACCACCATCCTCATCAGTGTGTGAACTCACATCCAACATCGTCGCAGCGTTAGCCACTCTGGGAGTCCTCGCAGCCATCTTGATGATCGTGACTTTGATCATCGTCTTACGCTCAGTGAGATCACGCGATAACTCACGAGACAATTAGTGCCATGCCGGAATCTACGAGCGGCAAGCCATATTCACCATTATTAGGCATTTAATATGAAAGACGAGACCAATGCTAAACGTTCTTCCTGTCATGGCTGCTATTGTTTATCCTTTGATGTATCTTTAAGTGCTGGTAAAAAACGTATGTCGTCTAACGTATAACGTGTTGAGACATTACTAGGAGTTCTTTTCCGAAGTCATTCGCAACGATACCAAACTATTTATCAATTTACAGGTTTCCATTGAACAAGTATTGAATTTTTTTGTCTTTTACGACATCGCGATCATTTATTTCAACGCAAACATTATTTCCACAGACAATTCGCCGTCTAAAACTTCAACTGAAGCTTGTGTTAAATCAAAGTAACGTGATCTAATATATAAATAGCCACTTGCTTCCGTGGCTGATGAACATTGACCTCTATATATTATATCAGCGTATAGGCGGTATTTTGTGCTGGATCCTCTTTTAAAGAGCCAACTTCGTAAAGCAAATGCCGTAAGGCTACAGATTTGTATAATTTGCACGGAAGTCGTAGCGCTGCAGTGACTTGTCAGAAAGGAGACCCTGTAGAGACCATACAATGTTTGTGATAATTCAGAAGTGTGAACGTTTTAAAATCTGCGCAAAAACACGCATTCACGCGTACATTTTAATACCGGTGCGCAGAACGTTTCGTGTTGCACACGTGGATGTTAATACCGGAAGTAAATGTAATTCTGTGCATTTTTGTAAAAGATGTGAAGCGTTGATATGTGTTCTTAAAATAAAGTGGTTTACTTACTGAAGTTTACCTGGTTCTATCACGGGCGTATGTCTACAGTGAAACATGGATCATATCATCGTATCCTGTAGACCAATGATACCGATGGATTGTATGGTCTACACTGGATCATACCACAGCTGGAATATTGCACACCACAGTGACAAACAAACAAACAAACAAACAAACAAATTGTGAATGCCCTTTAGGCCGCACACTCTACATTCCTTAAGATGGCAATGTCTTCAGACACAGTACACATTTGTCAATTCTCGACAATAGGTAGTCTAACAGGTTCCGTGTTAATTACCGAGGTTGCGCTGTAGCTATCTTAAAAAGAAATACGAATTCTTCAATATGAAATTAACTATGTTTATTTGGAATAGAACGAGACCACAATTACAATACAAATGATATGTTTTAGTTGTTTTATTGAGAGTAACCTAAAACCTGTGGTTATAATTCAACAAATATTTCATAATCGCTTCGAAGATATTACGTTTTCACTTTGTGTGGCACATATTAGATATATATCGAGATAATATAATAATTTTTAAAATTACAAAATTGCTGTTTATGTAGGAAACAGTGACAATCTGTTATTGGCGTTAGTGGCAGACAAGGAACAGTGTTAGGTGGGTAGTGAAACCGGACGTCGATGTGTGTCTTTTGATCCTTCACCAGACACCCTGCTTCTGATTACGCCTATTAGCAGGAACCGGAAGTTTAACGCTCATTTTGCACCGGAAGTGCTGTAGTAATGGCGTCCGGAGCTCGATCCAGGAAGAGATGTAGAGTAGACTAGACGGATACAATGAAATGATGTCGAGGGGGTAAGGAGAACACACATGTTGAGGGCCACGAACAAATGTGAACAAAGACTGTGATATTACTGAACGCCAGCTGTCACGGAACAACAATACCAGCGAGTATTGTCGATCCAGGAAGAGATGTAGAGTAGACTAGACGGATACAATGAAATGATGTTGAGGGGGTAAGGAGAACACACATGTTGAGGGCCACGAACAAATGTGAACAAAGACTGTGATATTACTGAACGCCAGCTGTCACGGAACAACAATACCAGTCGAGTATTGTCAGCAGGTTTGTCTGCCTCAACTGAGAGACCAAAACACTTCACGGATCTTGCATGCTTGAATAACCTGCAAGAGACATTTATGAAATAACGAAGGTAGCTAAGAATGCTTAGTATTGAATTTCTAACACAGTTGAGGCTAAATATGATCCCCAAAACAGACAATCGTTTTTTTCTGAACTTGCTATTTTATGTTGAGCTACATCCCCAAGTTTTGTTTTTCTTGTTTGTAAGTCGCCTTTTACGACAAGCATGGGTTGCTGAAGATGTATTTAAACTCTGATCACACCTATAATTCTAATTCAAGTGCTGAATGTGATACAAAATCTTGAGAAAGATTGTGTGAAAGTAACAGCGAATAGCCTGGTATCAGGGTTGTCTGGTTTCTTTACGCGCCACCATCCTAGCAGTTCTGCTATAGGGCGTAGATACGCGAAGATCCGGGTTAGAATTGCTTCAGCTTCCCACGTTTGTCGTTAGAGGCGACTAACAGTTGGTCAGGTTCGCTGATTTGGTTGACACGTCATCGTATCCCAATTGGGTAGATCGATGCTCACGATGTTGGTCACTGGATTGTCTGGTCCAGACTCGATTATTTACAGACCGCCGCCATATAGCTGGAATATTGCTGAGTGCTGCGTAAAACTTAACTCACTCACTCACCCAACTCCCTGGTTGACCAGTCTAGTATCAGATGGTATGTATTACCTTCATTATTGAGTCAGCCCTGGAGATTTCGGCCCATCAGCTTCATAAAGAGGTAGTCATCGAAGCTGGAATGACACATCAATTAATACACAACACGCGCTTGACTCAACACAGCCCCACATAAATCAGCTGCCTAAAACATCCAAGTTAACGGCGGACGTCGACAGAAAGCATTAGCTGTAGCGTCAGCTTTAGAAAAGCTGCAAATCGATCGGACTGTTAATCACCAGAAAAGAAATAACAATAATAATTGCCTTTACGTGATGTAACGGAGTGAGTGTTTATCCTGCAAAACACCAGGCTGATCTGTTCTATGTCTCATTAAAACAAGCCATTTGTTTTGTTTCAAATCATGAGCTTAACCTTACATCACGTTGTACGATCAAAGTCACGCAGAAGGGTGACGGAACCTTTTATTTGGTAGACATGTTGAGGATATTTCCAAATATGTGAATCAGTGACGATAATTATGTCCTATGCAGTTTTCTATAATGGCTTGTACCATCTGGTCCTTGTTCCCCACACTGAATTTTAAAAAATTACCTTTTATTTCTGTCTACAATATCCATGTTGTTATATTACTCCACACGGATATCTGACAAATCCAATGCAACAGGGACACTATTTAATAACCAGTTACTATTTATTTCTATCTACAATATCCAAGTTGTCAAATTGTATCCCACATTGATTTGAAAGTGTCATACTTAAATTGAAATACGTGTAGCTGTTGCACAGTAAACTTTATTTGCCTCCCCTTCGAAATGCTCCATCATCTTTATTAGCATCATACGGTAAGACATAACAAATATACTTTCAACCACAACCCCCAAGAACATATGTGGTTTATCTGATTACTGGAGTATTGTTAGGTATATACCAACATGAGATCTGTGGTTTATGGTTGAGGGGCGGTGGGGTAGCCTAATGGTTAAAGCGTTGGCTCGTCACGCCGAAGACCCGGGTTCGAATCCCCACATGGGTACAATGTGTGAAGCCCATTTCTGGTGTCCCCCGCCGTGATGTTGCTGGAATATTGCTAAAAGCGGCGTAAAACCATACTCAGTCAGTCAGTCAGTTTATGGTTGATTAAAACTTGCTTGGAAGGTAAGGTCATATGAATATGCTAAAGGTCTTTACTATTTCACTCATATAGTACCCTGGCAAAAACATCCATCTTTCAGATGTCATGTAGCTCACCTATAGTCATCGAACCGGTGATCCAGGGACCGCTTGTTCCAAGCGCTGAAATACTCTTTGCAGCTTTTCGGACATCCTTTGGCCCTGGACATCAGAGAACAAATCATTAATATCAAAATTGTGGCTGTATACTGTTTCACCAGTCGGACACTGCTACTTCAAATACCATTAGTGACCTTTACCGTGTTTCCGGGGGAATGAGGGAAACGGAAGCTGCGTCTGTTAGCGTGACAGGCAGCGACATCAACGTCGTCACGCTGAGAATATTTTCAAATATTTACCCGGACATTACTTCACTTTTTAAATACATGTATATAATTACATTTCATTAACGTTAAATGAGATTATCTTCATTATCCAGTGTGACCGTGTGCGTGAGGGAGGGAGGGAGCGAGCTTTACGCCGCTTTGAGCAGTATTCAAGCATGATCACAAAAATGGGTTTCGCCTGTTGGACTAAAGCAGGCATCTAAGTTTTCCCTAATATGCTGCTATTAACTTCCTTATTTCAATGTGTTGTCAGTGCTCACGGCATCAATCACAGAATACTGTCACCAAAGTTTAGAGATTAAACACACTTTAAACTAGCATGAAAAATAAAAATAGTTTTTATATAAAAAGAAAAAGAAACATGCTAATAACTAGATTTATAAAGACAACTTTCCAGAGGTACTTAGAACGAACATAGCAAGGAGTGCATATGGAAGTTTTATTAATTTTATTATTAAGGAACTGGTACTTGGAGAATACTGCTAAACACGGCGTAAAATCATACTCACTTTGAGAACCATTCACATCTATAAATATTTTTTTGAATAAATGTACATTGAAGGACATCAATAAATAATACATAAATGTATGAATTAAAAAAGATAATATTCAAAGAAACTACAACCGGAAATTGTGTAACAATAAGCATACGGACAAATCAATACAAAAATAAATAAAATGTGTTGCTTAAATAAACAAATGAAAGAAGAGATAAATATGTTTGAAGGTGGCTAAAATCGAAACAAACAAGAAAAGAGTTCGCGGTGCTGATATTTTTAAAATATATACTCAAAGGCAAAAGTTATTGTGATTGATTTGAAGTTAGATATGTGAATTAACAGCTGATATTTTTTATGATCAGACGCTTTTAATATTGCAAAAACATAATTCCACAATATGACTGCAAATGGCACATTTTAAACTGTTCTGGTGGGCACATGCTAATGAGGTCACAATGAGAGAACGGTCAAAATGATTATTCACAGTCAATAACGTGTATGTACACCATGAACATTGATGCATGCTTGACACCCGCGCCTCATAGAGCCAATCAAACATCGCAAGAAGTTTTGTGGCATGGCATTCCATATCTGTGGAGGCGCCTAGAGGAGTTCATGAAGAGTGGCTGGGGATTTGGCCAACGTCTCAGCGTCTCCATTTCGTCCCAGACGTTTTCGATAGGGGGGCAGATCTGGGGATTTAGCGGGCCAAGGAAGGTTTTTTTACATTGTACTGTGCCAAGAACTGCTGAACCACCCTGAGGTCGGGCGTTGTCCTGCTGGAAGATCATTCCTGGGCCAATCTGCTGGAAAACGGTATGACGACTGGATTAACAATTTCGTCTCTGTACCTGAGGCACGTTAAATTTCCATTGATGACAAACAAAGGTGTACGTCCAGCACTCGTTATCCCACCCCAAACCATCACTCCACCGCCGCCAAAACGGTCGGCCTCAAGAATACAGTTCCTAACATAACGCTCATTACGTCACTGGTAAACTCGGGTTCGGTCATCAGCGCGGTGCAAGAGGAATCTGGACTCGTCAGCGAAGAGACCATGTCTACACTCACGTGTTCTCCACCGCAGATGTTGTCTGCACCACTGCAGTCGTAGACGGTGGTGACGTAATGTCAGAATTTGTCGTCTGGCATGACGTCTAGCACGTATCCCGTGTGCAGCCAGACGCCGGTGAATGGTGCTTGGCGATACCCTGTTGACACCAGGAACTGTTCTGGCTGTCAGTGTGGCTGG